CTGTAGGAACTAGTGAGCAACATTTAGCAACAAGCATCAAAAACATTTTAGCTGTATTTTGTTAGTTCATTTTAAAGAAGTTGGCCCCGGTTTATTTACATTTATTAGCTATAGGAACTCTGCCTAGAGACTCGCGCGTCAGTGTGACCGCTAAGTATGGAACGCCAAGCAGGTCAAAAATGCTTGGATTTTAACGCGTAGTAAAGCTGAGTGAGCGCACGGCGCGGTTGCGGAGGTACCACATCTACTACAAGTGTCTCAAGCGATAGATGTCAGAAAGGGGCCTGACGGGGCTAAAAAAAGACTGCTTTAACAGTTCAATATGCTGTTTAGTATTTCTTCTTAAAACGTCAGTAATAAATTTATCTGGATTTTAACTATGGTATCATTTATCAAAGTTTCCCTATAATAAAGACAAAATAGACTTATATTGGGCATGAAACACCAGGGCTGAAAATCAATCCCACTCTGTAGGTGCCTAAACTCGGTAACGCCCCACCTCCTACCGTACATCGCAATAACTGGAGGAGAATGACAGATTTACCTCTCCCGTAACACGCCGCCAGCTTTGCGACTGTGCGATTTACATAGACTCGCAATAAATTAATTGGCGTATAATACGGTTGTTCGGTCAAAACGAGACACGTGGTTAAAATTAATCTGTAGACGGCGGAAGCGGTGATGTCACACTCTAAATAAATGAATCGAATGGGTCTTTCTTCTGTCCCTGAAAGCGCGCGACAGATTGGCTTTTCAGTAATGTTTGGCACTGTTGGACTAATGTTGCTCCAAATAACAAGGCGACTGACAGGGGGCACGAGAAGGTTTCCTTGTCTCTGCGATGGCGTCGTGACAACGAGCAGAGTCAACGGGATCACAGATGGACAACTGCTCATGCTGAGTTTTAAAGAACGCTTTTTCGTCTCAGAGTACAGTAAAACATGCCAACTCTTCTCACATCGTGCCAAGTAACATACTTTCACGCCTTAGGTAATAAGGACCATTAACGGATTTTAAACCAATATTAGAAGCACAACGTAGCGCGCTGAAGTGAATGTGCGTTGTAAATCGAACATTAAAAAATGAAAATTATGCATACATTTTAATAAACATATCCTCGGTATTTTACATCAAAATATTAATCACGGGAAGCCTTTGATAAAATATATTCTCATCAAGGAACAGATCGAATTTGCAGCACTTAACGGAGAGAAATTTCGAGTACTCTGTAAAAGCTAGGCATATTCTAAAAATAAAAAATGTATGAACCTGAGACAACAAAACAGATCCCTTTACCCAACCCGTAATAACATATCAGGGATAAAATTACTATTGCGTCAAGGTTTTAATCGATAAATCGAACTGAGACTGAAAACACTACGTGCTGAGATAGATAATGATTTAAAAACATCAGCCCAGAGTAAGGCTAAAACTCAATGACGTTTTGCGTACTTTCCAGTGCAGTGTAGTGATATTACCACTAGTAAGCGTCGTTTTCTTTGCTTACCAATGATTATTAGGCCACTTATGCAACTGTGACCTCAAAGAATGTCACGCATTGTCCTGACAAACACAATGTCCTACATTTTCAATTTATTAACTTTTTAATTACTTGGCATAATTATATAATGTATTTACGTACAGGGGAAAAAAACAACTGTTCATAGGATACACTCACTTTCTTTCAGAAACCATTATTATTATCACCACGTATACGGACTGTTTTGTTCAAACAGAAATACGGAACGATTCCTGTGAGTAGCCTATATATCAGTTTCATCGCTAATTTAAATATGACAAGGCCAAATTACATTACGGTAAATATAAGCCATGTGAATTGCCATATAACTGTCTGCTGCAAAAGCTCATTTGAAGCGAACATAGAGTAACTTGAGCTCCTAATCGGTTTGAAAACATATGGCAGATCAGAAAATTGTTTTTTTAATGGAAACACTTATCTGAAGAAATAATTGTATTCAGAAAAGTGTGCATATTAGTACTAGCGAGCGGATTCAGTTGTGATATATATTCATTAATCCATTCCCGTATTCATTTAATTTCAGCAATGGTATTAACACTGACCAGGGATATTATCTGCTGTCTCTCGGCAACGCTGCTGCCGGTTGTATCAATTCTTAAAGTTGTAGCCACCGAGCCAATGCTGTGAACGATCTACTTGCGGAGACCAAGACGATTTACATACAGATAAATGATTGGCTATTAAGTATATAAACGTAAACCCCGAAAGCTCAGGCTTCTCAGATGCTTTGCGTGGGCAGCCAATGATATTGTCAATAAAGAACATGGGCGTGGTTTTGTTTTAATGAATACCAGCCATACGAGCTCTTTTCTCCTCATTTCTTGCACAGAGCACGTAAAAAAGTCGTTAAGAAGTCGTATTCAACTTCCTACTGTGATTGCCTGGTATTTCGGGGCTAAGAACTGCTTTTCGCTTCCACGCTGCATAAACGTGACTGTAGGCTGTGCATGTGATTAGAACTTGACCAATCAGCGACGTAGAATAAAACTTAATGTCGGTGAGCCCGAACTCTGCGATAAGAGAACGGAGCAGGCGCAGTAGCGAGAAGTTATGAAACCAGTGAGAAAGCCGAGGCCGAGCATGCGGAATTGAAGGCTACCGGACCGTACAATCTCCCCTTACCTAAATAAAATTGGGATAAGAAATGATACTTCCTCAAGGAATGACATAAGCATCACGGAACAACAACAACGGAAAGGTAAGTGTTGGCGATTACCGTGCTCTTCAGTGTGAAAATCACTTAACATATGTAAGGAAAACAGTCGCAATAGTTACAGGTTGCATAACCATTGTACCTCTGACCTCCTTTAGGTTTACGGGTCTTGGTTTTCTGTTATAAACTTGTGTTCCGTTACGTTTCTGATTTATTGTAATGTGTGCGTATTTATTACAAACAAAATATGCCATTAATGTCGTTCCTGGCATAACACAGGCATTACGAGTTTTTCAGATTCCTTTTGATTCGTATGACCCATTTTCTGTTCTCGACTAAATCGTGTATTTTGGTCACTTTATAAGTTAGTAACAGCTATGCGGATATCAACCTTTTTTGTTACGGAGCTCGCAATGTTGCATCTCTCATTGAGTATTTAGATATTTCAACTTTTTATATCCACATAGTTTTATTTCAAAAAACGTTTACAAGTTTGTGTCATACATACATAGGCTACAAACATGCATGCATACGACAATCAACGTCCTTGTTGACGACACATATCCTGAAAGTTGGTTCGAAACTGCGTAATACGTTGCAAGTGTGTTTTGCGGAGGCTATCGTAATGTTCTGTCAGATGTGGGGGCGGTTGGAAAGTAACGTGGCTTCATTCATTTTTTGCTCCTAGCGTTGTGCTTTGCTGTCTCGGTGAGACTCAAAGCCAGAGATACAGTGCTTTCCCGTTTTGCTACACTGCTTAAACACTATTTTGCTGGTAAAGAAGGACGGTGGTTAAAATTACGTATATGACCCGGAGTCTTTTAAGTGAAGGAAGAAAAAAATATTTTATATTGTCAAGTTGTTTCTCTAGCAACTATATATATTTCCCTTATTTATAATAATAACAATTTGCGTTTCTTTTAAGATACTTCGCCCTGTGTAAAGTGTTAAAAATTTTGTTTCTCTAGTATTCACTCGGAGCGATACGACTATCGACAAATAGGCCTAGATTCATTTAGGTTTCTTTTGTTGTATGTGGTACATTGAGTTTTATTATAACGCATTACATGACCTTAAATGAACGCGTTCAGCAAATCGCTCTGATCCGAAGTAACAGCGTGGAGAAACGACGCTATATCTTCTCTGATATATTTTCCTGCAAATGGACATTTACATTTTATTTGTTTTTTGGTTTTTTTTTAAGTTTTTCTCGTCTTCTATTTAAATGAACCCGTGATTCATTTGCACCTTGCTTACTGTAAAGAAAACTCGGTTCCGATGCTTTATATAATTTCATTAATTGTAATGTGCGATGCCATCATAACTGTGAAGCTTTAGTGAAAATGAACTTTTTCAGACTTTTCGTGCCGTTTCTGATTTGGAGTAGGAGTTTTGTTATACATCCACCAAATAGGTCTAGTTTGGAAACAATGTTGCTTGAGACGTTGCATTTAAATATCATACGCCAATTTAATCAAATAAAACGTAGGCAAATAACAGAGGAGCGGGAAACTTGAAGATACAGTAAAAAAATGAGATGGTTGAAACGCGACAGAAATGCATACTTTTTAGAAATATTGATCACAATGGGTGTCGTTTAATGCCCCCCGTAGATTATGGCCCCAAACTCCATCCACTGGTTCCGGAAGGGGCTCCGTCTCCATGACAACCCGGCACTCAGGGAGGCGGCGCGTGGTGCCTGCACGGTCCGCTGCGTTTACTTCCTGGACCCTTGGTTTGCCGGCTCCTCCAACCTCGGAGTCAACAGGTGGAGGTGAGTTGCACGGATATTACGATGAAATTTTCTTTACCTGTTTGTTTCTGTGGAAATTATTAATTACTGTAACGTTTCGTGACGTCGTTCTCAACCCTAAGGACCCACTATGCATTCTGTTGAAAATCCGCTCGTAATTAGCTTTATTGAAACTTTCCAACCTGCCGGTTGCTTGTCTCTTACTGCTCAGTTGCTGACTGTGGCAGCGGATAGCAACGCGCATGCCCCCTTTCTAGCTGATTGGAGAACCGCAGGAAGTCTCGGACGGTTCAGCTTTTTGTTTCTCTATAGTCCTGCCTTTTGAACAACTTTCTCATGACGTATCTCAGTTGAAATTATTTGCATTAATTATGTTTTCCGTATATCTCCCCTTTTACTTACCGGGATTAGTGTCATATCTTACGTCTGTTTCTACTCCTGGATATAAATGCGGCCTCTCAAAAGACCATTGTATCACTTGGGCTGTGAACCCAAGATCAGAGAGATTAGAAGTATTGGATGTTCTCCTCATTTTCCACTTCTTTCTAGATTTATCTACAACTGTGATCAAAATGTATATGAAACGGTCAGCAGGGGGAGCCTTGCACGACAAAATGTGCTGTAGTAGACCTTTGTATGTGCATGCTGCTGGATGTTCAGCTTCAGCTCAGTGCAGTACTAGCTGAGGTTAGAATACCTTGTTGTAAAGATGCTGGGGAGGTGAGGTGTGTGTCGGTGCGCAGGAGGTGGATGGTTTGCTTGTGTGCTCACTGCATGCCTATTCATGTATCTGTGGTACTGCACTGCACGCCTATTCAAGTAACTGTGGTACTGAGATGCAATTAAACACAGGCAGCATTGTTATGATAGGACGGTGTGTACTGTCAGTTAATGTGAATATATTGGCTTTTTCCTTTAGAAATATGAAAAGTCTGTTCTATTATATTACTGTTCTGCCCTGTAAATTGGCATTTTATATTTTACCGTGGCGCATGCACAGAGATTTTACCGTGGTACATGCACAGAGATTTTACCGTGGTACATGCAGAGATTTTACCGTGGTACATGCACAGAGATTTTACCGTGGTACATGCACAGAGATTTTACCGTGGTACATGCACAGAGATTTTACCATGGTACATGACATTTCATTACTGAAT